CAGTGTGAGCGGCCATCTGCTGAGGCCCACTGGGGTTCAAGGAGACAGAAGCAGACATAGAAAAAGAAGCATAGATACAAAAGGCAACTGTAAAAGGCGCCCAAATCCAGGAAAACAACGGCCAGGCAGACGAGCTCCGAGCCAACTCCCATGTCGCAAGTCGATCTATAAACAAAGATGTTGATGGCAGCAGCACAGCTGATATTTCAATTGATAACGACGCTTTTCATCGGATAACGTCGTTTTATGGCAAACAGCCTGTCAGTGCTGCATGTCTCCTGCTAGAACCAGTCTGCTCCATTCAGACTCATCTTCTGATATTTCAATTGATAACGACGCTTTTCATCGGATAACATCAGGTTTTATGGCAAACAGCCTGACAGAGCAGCAGGCCTCCTGCTAGAACCAGTCTGCTCCATTCAGACTCATCTTCTGATATTTCTGATGCTAGGTTAGCAGAGCGCTTGGCAGATTTTGATCAACCAACAAAGGAAGACTGGGATAGAAAAAAACTTCTTAGTGCAAACTGTTCCCAGCGGGACTTAACAAACAAGTCCGTCTGTTAGCCACGCCCACTTCACATTTAAAGCCACACATGGAGTTAAATAATTCCAGCTATCTGTGGAAATATCTGCTACTGAATGAGGAACAGAAAAAATAATTTAGATCCAGATCTTTTCAGCAGAACCTGAATGTTCCTGAATGTTTCTGAATGTTTCTGAAGTTCTGTGTCATTTGGCTAAATAAAGGCTTCACTGCATCCAGGGTTTTCTTTCTATATATTCTGATCACACATTTAAAGGAGAAAATATGAGGTTCTATTGAGGAGGATTGTGGCTTCATTCACCAAGTGAACTTGAACTGGTTTGTGAACTTTTCAAAAAGTGAACTATGAACGTGAGCTGATTCATTTTCATCCGTGTGAGCTGAACTTTGAACTTCTTTTCAATTATAAACTTGGACAACATTGTCCGTGGGTGTTGGTTTCCTGAAGGTCACAGCGTCAGACATGCAGTTTTAGCAACGATAGAAGGATTTCCCAGAGAGGCTGCTTTGCCTCGAACCCTCATCCCGTCTCACAGCCACCGGTGTGTTCCAGACTTACTGGGGCTGGCCAGCAGGGCGTTCAAAGACTCAGCCCAGGACTCCAGCACGTCGTGGCTGATCCGCCCCTTCCTATTGTGGCCCACCTGACTCCACTGGCGCATGAAATGCAGGCGAGACCTCCTCTCTGTAGCGCTGTGGTTCGGAGCGACGCAGACAGACGAGCAGATATCAGTGAGAGACGGAAATCTATCAGAGATCAAAGCGATAGGAGGGAAACTTTCTCACCTGTTTTTCTCTTCTGCATTAAACAGGTTTGAGTGGGATGAATGAGGACTCTGAAAGGAGAAAATGGATTACATCATTTAGACATTCTGCAAGTTCACAGTAAAAAAAAAAAACAACTTTTACTACATTGAATATTTTATCAGCTCTTCAAACGAAGGGATTCGTTAAGATTTATCAAACTTGAGGCTCAGTCGCTTCTCAATCTGCACTTTTTGGAAAACGTTTTATCAAACAATCTACATTTTTGAAAGTTCTTGAAAGATTTATGTATTTTCTAATTTCTCTTAAAGAATTATTTTTAAGGTTACATGTTTGAAATTAAGAGAAATATCAGAATATATTAAAAGAAATAAAATTTTACAAATCATCTAATTGAAAAGGGTTTTGTTTTGAAATAAACAATTAAATTGTTGATCATTAAAAACTGCAATTTGAAAATCTACTTTCACATCATATTTATAAATAATTAATAAATCAAACATTTAAAAAAGGTAATTCTATTTTCTTTTGACTTCATCCTCTCCTCTTGGTCCCTAAACACACTGAGAACAGAGCTCAACCAATCACAGCTTCTCTATGGACGTAACCAGCTCTCTCCTCCGTTAGACTGACACATTTGAAAAGTTCATTTCTAAAAATGCATTTTTTATTTCAAGTCACAAAACACATTCTTTGCTGCAATAATAACGGAACAAAATTTACTAAATCTTCAGCCAATGTGGATCGCATAAAAAAAAAACAGTACAGATTATATATTTAATTAGAAAAATGAAGTTTATAGAATGTAAGGTTGTGCAGCTTGGAAACGGTTCAAGAAAATGTAATTCAAAGTGTTTAGACTTTAACTTGTGCAGCTGGAATCAGAGCGGATCAGAACCGAGTGTCTAGAATCAGATCGCTGGCAGTGAGCAAAGGATGCTGGGAGATTTATAGAAACAACATTAAAGTCCAAACGAGTTGTGGATGAGCCCCGATGTGGAATTTATTCAGAATCTCCTCTGGAAAGAATTTTAGAAGAAATAAGAACATCTAAAGACGTAATTTATCCCAACTGCATTCATGTCACTTTATCTCCATATTATGTGTTTTTGATATTTAGCTCAATGGGTCTTAGGAGTAAATTCCCCCTGGGATTACATATGTGAACTAAAGCAAAGTATTCATTGTAAAGACAATTGCTTGTTTTTGTATGACAGAAAGGCATTGAGGAATATTTTTCAGGTGGAACCACTGTTTTAAAGGTCAACATGCCTGATTTATAGGTGATTAAACAAAGAAAAAAATGAAATATATTTAGCCTCTCCAAATTACTTTCCAATTTTAACACTGCAAAACACCATGAAAGCCCATTTGAAACTCTGGATGAACCCTCAGACTTTATAGATCCACATCTTGACTATGACTCAAGCTAATTTAGACTGAACAAGTTCAAACATGTTTGTTCCACAAAGGTTTTAGTGGGCAGTGTGCGATTTTGTGATTTTGGCACAATGCTAAAACTTCAAAAATGTATTTTTCCACTCATCAAAGGAAATCTAGGCAGACAAATATGCTGATTTCCATTATTGGAGTCCTTCTGCCTACAGTAAAGCCTTTGCTCCTAAGATTTAGCCGTTGTTTTATTGAAATTTACCAATAATATCACCAAACTGAATAGAAAATAAGAACAACAGAGAAAGCTTATGTAATGCATGCCGGTTAGATCACCTAAAATGGTCGAACAATGACCTCTGACCCCTCCTCGGAAAGGTCT